GCAATCACTAATCTGTTGTCCATCTCTATAATTTTGTCATTTCAAAATATATTACATAAATAGAAACAGCAGGTAGCCTTTAGGGGTCTGCTTCTTACACTCAGCACTACTTGTTTGAGATTCATTCAAGTTGTTGCATGTATTCATAGTTCACTTTCTTTGGTTGCTGAGTGGGATTCCATTTTAGAGATGGATATACCCTAATTTGTTTAACCATTCATTCCTTGAAGAACATCTGGTTTGTTTCCAGTTTGGGGCTCTTACATTCATGCACAGGGTTTTGAGTGAACAAGTTTTCATTTCCCCAGGGCACAGCTGTTGGGTCGTCTGGTAATTGCAAACTGAATTTAAAAAGAAACAGCCAAACTCCTCTTCAGAGGAATTTGTTCCCTCCAGCAATGTCTAAGAAATCTAGTTCCACAGTCAGTGTGCAATATGGTCACTGGCTTGTATTTTAGCCATTTAGATTCATATTTTGTCTACTTTTTTAGATGGAATTCAAGTGTTCAATTCACCACTACACGGTATTATTAGTCTCCCCAGCACAGAACAGGACGAGGAGACAGGGAAGCAGTCGTGTACACCCCAAGAATAGACACTGGCCTCCAGAGCTGTCCAACAAGCCCTTCCCCCAGGTGCTCACGGTTCAACACAGCAGCTTTCTCAGGAGGTAGCAACTTCTCCAACACCCACGAAAGGATTAATTCCCACTGGTATCAGGCAGACCTAAGTATTCTCTAAGATTTATTTCAGCCTTGAAATTCTATACAGCTATTCCTTTCTTCATCATGATTACTGATCACCAATGAGGTAGGAGGTCCTCAAAAACATGCCAAGCGTAAAGACAAGAAAAATCGTACCATTCATTCACACCGCTAAAGCACTTGACCCCTTTCAGAGACTTTCCCCAGCCATCATCTGAGTCAAGTGCTTCCCTAAGAGTACAAAAAGAATCTATCCCAAGAAAATTATCAAAAGCATGGGAATGAGAATCAATATAATGTGGACCTTCCCAGAAAGCTGTGGGGTTTTGTTTGGTTGGTTGGTTGGTTGGTTTAGGCTTTGTTGTTGTTGTTGTTGGTTTTGCAGTAATGGGGATTGAACCCAGGAGATGTTCTAGATGCCTGATAAATATTTGTCAAGTGACTATTGAGTTTGTGTGAGTGCTTCTCTTATAAGATTGCTGTCATGAGACTCCATGGCGAGGCGGGTTTCCCAAATGTCAGTCACTTTACCACTGAGCTACCTCTTCAGCCATATTATAATAATTATTATTTTTTTAAATTTTGAAACAGAGTCTTGCTAAATTGTTCAAGGCTGGCCTTGAACCTGTGATCCTTCTGCCTCAGCCTCCCAAGGCAAATGGGATGCACCGCTTCTTTTTTCATCTTCCAGATTTTCTGAAGAAGAAGGTGTCAGTCTTGTGCTAATTAGTCCTTCACATCTTTATAACCATGCCAGTCTCCCTAGTAAACAAAGAAAAAGGTGGCCTCAGGCTCCTAGCCCCAGGCCAGCCACAGTTTGCAGGATAAAATGAAAAATCACATTGTTTTGTCTTCTGTGGATTTGTCTGCCCAGTCACTGTTTATTTATGGCAATGATGTAAAATTTCCTTTTTAAATAAATCTATTTCAGTCTAAACCTAGCAAGTTAGTAGTAAAGAAAAATTAAATAATGATGGTATTTAAGTGTTGGCAAAAACTATGAGTGACTGACATTTGGGAAACCCGCCTCGCCATGGAGTCTCATGACAGCAATCTTATAGGAGAAGCACTCACACAAACTCACCAGTCACTTGACCAATATTTATCAGGCATCTACCACATGCCTGGAGTGTGCTAGGGCTGAGGATGCGGCAGGGTACAGGACAGACACAGCCTCTGTCTGACTGATGAATGACAAAACAGGGACACCAGGGAGCAGGTGACATGCTCCAAGGATACAGAGAATGAGCAGCCACTCAGCCTGGGGCCTGGTCCCAGCAGAGTGCTCTCTCAGGGGCCCCAGGCAGACAGGAGGCCCTCCCTGCTCTAGGCAAAGGAAATAAGGGCAGTCGTCCAGCCCCCTGGAGAAAGGTGAGGACAATGTCTCCCAAGGGCCAGTAAAAGGGGCCAGAGCATATTTTTTCTCTAACTTTGCTCTCTCCGCCAGCCCCTCCCATCTTGCCCCTCTGGGTTCCCTGGAGCTGGGGCTCCAGGACAGGTCCCTCTTGACTACTGGTTTTCAGGTGACCTAGTTTCCCCCAATAGACCCACACACCTCCTCCCACCCCTGTCTGAGAAAACCCTGCTTGGTCTAATTAAAGAATTGCCTGGTACTGCTTGCAGCAGCTGGGCGGCCCCCGAGACAGGGCACTGGCCTGGGTGCTGGGGCAGCCACAGAATCTGTGGCTCCAGTGGGATGTGGAGGGGCCTTCTTGTGAAGCCTGGGCTCACCAGTCCCCACGTCCAGAGACGGCCCCAGATGGCAATGAAAACATAGTCCAGGCTGCCCAGACCTGGGAGACTAATATAAACACTCCACAGGGATCCCCAAGGAAGGCCACATTTGGAGGAAAACCAGCTGTATGCAGACATTTGAAACCCACTGTGTTGTGGGAATATCCAGACACCATCCTGCAGAAATGGACATGCAGAACCCTAAGTCCACCGAGGGACTGGGCCGGCAAGTTGGGAGGGGCCTGCCGAGGCCAGGTCAGGTGAGGTCATCCAGGAAGTGTGTGAGATATGAGAAGAGAAATCAGAGGACAGGGGAAATTGGGTGGGGTATCTAATTTTTCCAGCATCTGGGCAATGAACCAAAATAGCTTGATTGTGGCCAACAGGAAGTTTGAGGCCAAGGCACTTGACCCTTGGAGAAGTAGGAACGGGCTATGGAGGTGTCCGCACCTCTTCCCCCAAAGCCTTGATGTAGCCAGTTGTCTAACAAAGGCTGAACTCGATTCCTCTTCCTGCAAAAACTGACCCTTGCTGTCCCCAGAGAGAGAAACAGTCAGTGTACCTCTAGAGATGCGCAGGCTCAGCTCCAGATGGCTGGCCCTTCCCCCACCCACCCTGCACTGGGGATGGAACCCAGGGGTGCTTCACCACTGAACCACATCCCCAGTTCTTTTTACTTTTTATTTTGAGACAGTCTCTAAGTTGCTGAGACCAACCTGGAACGTACAGTCCTCCTGCCTCAGCCTCCTAAGTATCTATCTGGGATCATAGGCCTGTGCCACTGTACCCAGCTGCCCTTGTTAGGGAAGGCAAGGAAGTGTACCAGGACTCGGTGCAGAGGTAGAGCCAGGGGGTGGGCTTCATCATTATCCCAAAATAAAAAGCTATTGCAGGGCTGGGGCTGGAGCTCAGTGGCAGAGCACTCGCCTAGCACGTGTGAAGCCCTGGGTTTGATCCTTCACCACATAAAAATGAAACAAATAAAATAAAGGCATGCTGTCCATCTACAACTACAAAAAAAAAAAATTATGAAAAAAAGGTATTACAGAGTGTTGTCTGGGGAATGTGGAGGCCTCTGGGGAAACAACGAGGGCACCGCTTTGGGTGGGAATCTGTGCAATTTTTCCATTCCTCCTTCCATACCAGGCCCTGATTGGCCAGAACTTACTATTATTACCAATGGGCAGAGCCCAGCCACCGTGATTGACTGAGGTGCAGGCACCCAGTCTGAGTTGCCCCAATCAGATGCTCTCCCTTCCCACTCTATGTGACCTGGAAGCATGAAGCTCAGTTGCTGCTGGAAGCCAATCTTGGGTGTCACCAACACTTGGGAGTGACAGTTGAGAAACAGGATCTTTAAGGAGCCTCAGCACTTTGGCTATCCAAACCAACAAAACCTCCTATATTATTTAAGCCAGTTGAATTTGTTTTTTTCCTTTACTTATGTCCCCAAGTCACCCTAACAGAGAACAATGACACTTTCAGGGTAGCAGGCATAGGGACCCCAGGAGGAACTGTGGCCTGTAGCAAAATGCGCCTCTTGCTGGGGCACATTACCAGATCCCTCCCCTCCCCTCTGCAATGACCATTTCTGGCCTTTCAGGCCCAAGTAGAGGGCTATCCTTGAGCGAGGATGGAAAGATCAAAGCCGGGTTCCCACAGCAGCCCTGCCCACCGAGGACTACACCGGGGGATCGAACCCAGGGCCTTGTGCATGCCGGGAAGTGCTGCGCCACTGAACTGCATCACCAGCCCCCTGTTCCTCCTTAATTCCAGGAGAGTCGCTAACTGACACATCTCTGGACTGGAGCCAACTGCTTTGAGAAAAACAACGTGAAGGAAGGTGAATTCAAATTGAAGAGACTTTAAAATGAGTCAGAAAGCATTTCAAAGTTCACACCGTTAAAAGAAAATGCTAAGATTTTGTTCCTGGTTCTTCAGCTATTCTTCCCTGCACAATCTTGGCAGCTGTCTGGGGGAAGGCCGGGAGTGCTTTTCTCCTCGTGTTTCCTGCACCATTGAGCACGAGGGGAAAAGGAAAACAAAACAAACAGCCCAGCCCTCCTCCTCCTCTGATCTCACTTGGGACCTACTTTCTCTCCTAAAGGACACACACCCCCACCCTCCCACAACACATGTCTTTGAATAACAGAATCATTTTTTCAGCATAATGATGCTTTACTCATGAGCACAGAGACTTCTGGGGCCCTTGGTGCTCCCAATATCTGAATTTGAAATTATCCTTGTCCCCCCGACCCTATTCTCACTGACTGTCCTATTCCTGCTGGGACGAACCTTCTATCACCCTACACAGACCTCCCAGTGTGGCCTCAGTTGTGGGACTCAGGTCCCCGCGGGCCAGCTCCTTAACTCTGCTTATCCAGCTGTGCTTCATTCATTCAGATCTCTGAATGGCAGCCTGGGCTTGGCCCTGGCTTGTCACTGCTCACTGAAGCCCATTTTCAGGACTTTGTGTTTATGGTAGGAGAGGGGAGGCAGGATTCAAAAGTCAAGAGTCCAAAGGGAACAAAGAGTGATCGAGCAACTAATACCCCTGAACATTCTCAGGAAAAGAACCAAGCGCAGCGATTGGATAATAAGGCCCTCTGTCTGAACTGCCTGGGTCACATTGGGAGCAGAGGAAGAGTCAGGGTCACATACAGGCAGCATGAAGAAGCAGGAGCAGCCGGGCACAAGGAGAAACCATCTAACAAAGCTAACAGTTCACAGAGCCTGGCCCGGCTACTCGTGAGTTTGCTGAGAGAGAAGATCCAGGTCAGGTAGTAGACAGGACTGCGCCAGGGAGCCCCAGTTCTGGCCTGGAGAGAGATGATCATATGGGGAGTGAGCATCTATCATGCGTGACTGCAAGATGGCATTTGGTGACCAACAGTCAAGACAACCTGGAGGGACCCAAGTGGACGCTGATTGACATTTTGGATTGTTTCTGCCTGTGAAGGTGAAGCAGCCTTCTCAGGCTCATTTCCAGGAAAACTTCAAAGACAACCACAGCCCACACAGGTGAAGAAAACCCCAGGACCACACCATCCTCCATGCTGATGTCCCCCCACCAACCCAACCCAGAGAGGTGGGCTAAGAATACCAGTGTGGAGAAGGCTGCAGGGGACGAACGTAGGTGCTAAGGACTAAGGGCACACACAAGGCCGAGAGGATGCCTACAAACATCCCACGTGATCGTGTCAGTCTCAGTCAAGGTGCTAAACCAAACCAAAGAAGTTTATGTAAGAGCTAAGCACAGGGAAATGGGAGTCGGGTTGCAAGGGTGGTTTCTCCAGACCCAGGGGAGTGGGGGTATTTTCCAAAGGAGGCCACCTGTGACCACAGAACATCCTCCTGGGTTACAAGGTGAGTAAACAGGGGTGGCTGTTCACGTTGGCTAGGCCTGGAGTGGCCTCGGTCTCCTCTGCTGACATCCTTGACTAAACTTTCTTCTGTGTCAACTCTGAAGTTGGTGGTGTCTGCTTGGAGCTCTGGGAGGAGAAGAATCAGGAAGCCATGTGTGTAACAGGAGTGAATGCTATGAGGGTTAACAGTGTCTGCCAGGGCTACAGACGTGGGAAGCAGAGGTGAGCATGCTACACCATGTTCCCCTCAACCTGGCTTTCAGTACTGGCCTTCACCCCAGGGGTTGGAACACTCCAGTCTTAAACATAAGCATCTGGAATGTTATCAGACAGAGTGGCAAGACCCCTCAAATCCCAGGATTTCATCCAGACAACACCACAAAATCACTGTGGCCTCAGTCAAGAACACCTGAGGCTCACCTGCCTCGGGGTTGGGGGGTGAATGAACAGCTGGTGCTCCATCCTGCAAAAGGGACTGGACCCAGCTCCTAGGAAGCTATATGCTGAGCCAACTCAAGAAAGGATGGCAGCCCCTGTAGCTGCCTGCCGTGTCTCCCACACTCTCCTTGGAGTGGAGGGAGATGCCATGCCGGCGGGAACTGGAAGAAGTCCACTTATGAAGGGGAGAGGGACAGAGTGCTGCCACCAGCTGACCCACCCCTCGCCACCTAGATCCAGAGATCACTGTCTTGTCAATTCCAAGCATCTTGGGCTCCACATCACAACCAACATAAAAGAGGAAGGGGCCTCTGGTCTGATCCCTGATCAGATCTCTCTCCACTCCAGGAACCTCACAAATATCCCTAGCAAGCCATCTCCTCACCACCACCACCCTTTTTTTTTTTGGTACCAGAGATTGAACCCAGGGATGCTAACCACTGAGCCACATCCCCAGCCCTTTTACTTTTTATTTTGAGACAAGGTCTCACTAAGTTGCTGAGGCTGGTTTTGAACTTGCGATCTTCCTGCCTCAACCTCCCGAGTCACTTATAGGCATGCAACACGGTGCCAGGCTCTCCTTCCATCAGCCAGGGGCATTCTTCGCCAGTTAGGAAGTAGTTGAGGTGGGAATTTTTCAACTTTTCATAGAGATTATTCACTGAGGTTTAGAGGATAATTCCAAGGAGGAAAGGGCAATAGCAAGCATCGAGTTCAATTTGAAGGAGAAAGTCCTAAATTTGAAGAATGAGACGGAGAAGGGAGACATCGAAGCAGAAATTGATTCCAATTAACTACAGCCAGTGAGTGCAGATGTGTGATTCAAACCTAGGTCTAACTCTGAAGCCTTCGTACACTACAGCAGAAGGAGAAGAAATAACTAGGAAAAAATCTAAAGAACCACAAGGGTTTTTAAAAGACCTTCCATGAGAAATGCAAGATTTTAGAAAATCCACAGTATTAACAATCAGAAAGAGAAGACGCATTTTGGCTAAGAAACCAGATGGACCAATTTGTAATAGAAAAAATACTTGCTGAAACCAGTGTGTACAGCAAAATGTATGCTAATGAAACTGTAGGTGAGCATTGTTTAAAACTATGTGCATGAAATGAACCCAGAGACAAGAGAATGTTCGATAAGAAGGAAAGCTTTATGCACAATGTCCCTTCCACCTATCTAGCGCTGTGCATGTGACATTGCCTGGAATCTTTTCACCAACTCTAAAAATGTAGGTATTATCCCCATTTCAAAGAGGAGAAGACTGAGCCTCAGAGAGGCCAAGGCACTAGTAGTAGGGGCAGGTGTTCCAGCTGTTTGCAGTCGGAGTAGCCCAGGATCTGTGTGATGTGTCAGTGCCCAGGCCATCCACTAAGCATAAGTAATACCTCTCCTGCTTGAAAACACAATTTTTAAAAAGTCAGGGAAAATGGGCCACAGTAGCCTGACTGGTAGCAAGAAAGAGTCCTTGAAGGAAAATAAATAAAATCTATGCAGAGTAAGAAAAACTGATTAAAATCATAACTTCTCTTACTGTTGGAGCTGTCCTCGCTTTTAGAGGCTTGAGCCGGAGATATATGTATCTCATTCTAAATTCCATTAAATGCGCCTTCCAAATCCCTGCGGGCCCCGCCCCCACAGCCAGCCTCTCCTTTCCGTGGAGAACTTCCGCACTTTCGCTTCACCCCCCAGCTCCTGAGCCAGATTCATAACTGCTCCTGCCCTCCCTCCTCTCCTCTCTGGGAAATGAAACTATTAGTGGACTAGATCGGGAAGTTTCCAGATGCTCTACAGTTTGGTCAATGAAGTTTTCATCCAATATGCAGGTTTTGAAGTATGCATGCTGGATCTGTGACCTTGCAGGTCACCATGCGGAGAAGCGCTCTGTAGGTGACTGCAGGTACAGTACTACTTCTGTCCCTCCCCTTTGATCTCCAGCCAAAGTTCTTTCACTTTGATTCCCTCCTCTTGGGTATACAGAATGCTAAGCATACCTCTGCTTCCCTTCTTTCCTTCTAACAGGATAAAGTCTCCATGAGCCAGAAGCCCCACCCCACAAAAGTGGTGTTATTACCGGAATTGAATTTATCTCCCCGTGTTACAATCTCAGGTCGCTCAGCTATCTGGGATTCTGACTTCTCCCAAACGTCTCATCTTCACCAGCAAATCACTGGACACCCTCTCTGTTTCAATCGGGTCACCAATGAATATTAGTTAGGGGGTTTTCTTCTGGCAATTTTCTCTGCTCATGCATTTCCATTGTAAATTTAAAACCTCATTCATTTAGTCAAGAGATAAGTATTTATCGCCACCTACCACATGCTGGGCAGTAAAGGAAGCTGGCTCCCAGGATCCCTGAATGAACAAACCTCCTGATCAGAGAGGTTCTGCTTTAGTCATGCTGGGCCAACCTTCCTGTATATGGTTACTATGAACTCTAGACATGCCCTCCCCCGCCAAAAATAAATAAGTTTATTGGAATTCACTAGATTTGTTTGACCACAAGTGGCACAAACTGGAAGGAAGTCAACATTAAAAAGAAAAAAATGGCATCAAGTAACTTTTGCAGGTTTGTAACTCTTTACCTGACGGAAGGCCCCAGTGGATGTTGTACATAGTGGCTAAGCTTGGATAGAAAACTTCTCTTTCACCATTTGAGCAATTAAAGGATAGAAATTAGATGAATGGATAAAAAAAAAATGTGGCATTTATACACAATGGAGTATTACTCTGCACTAAAAAATGACAAAATCATAGAATTTACAGGGAAATGGATGGCATTAGAGCAGATTATGCTAAGTGAAGCTAGCCAATCCCTAAAAAACAAATGCCAAATGTCTTCTTTGATATAAGGAGAGTAACTAAGAACAGAGTAGGGTCGAAGAGCATGAGAAGAAGATTAACATTAAACAGGGATGAGAGGTGGGAGGGAAAGGGAGAGAGAAGGGAAATTGCATGGAAATGGAAGGAGACCCTCAGAGTTATACAAAAGTACATACAAGAGGAAGTGAGGGGAAAGGGAAAAATAATACAAGGGGGACAAATGAATGTCAGTAGAGGGGGCAGAGAGAGAAGAGGGAAGGGGAGGGGAGGGGAGGGGGGATAGTAGAGGATGGGAAAGGCAGCAGAACACAACAGACACTAGTATGGCAATATGTAAATCAATGGATGTGTAACTGATGTGATTCTGCAATCTGTGTATGGGGTAAAAATGGGAGCTCATAACCCACTTGAATCAAAGTGTGAAATATGATATATCAAGAGCTATGTAATGTTTTGAACAGCCAACAATAAAAAATTAAAAAAAAAATAAAATAAAATAATAAAAATAAAATGAATTATCCTCTAGCATTTGCTTATACCCCCACTGTGGCATTCATCCTGTTGTGTTCAGGTGGGCTCTTTTGAGGGCAGGGATTAGTGCTTAGGTATCTTTACATATGCTGGTGCCCAGAAAGGTCTGAGTGCACCGTGGATCATCAATAGATGTAGCTGGAGTGGAAGACCAAGGTGGGAAGGAACAGCACAGGGTAAGGAGGGCCGCTGCTAACTCTGCCCAGACCTGTGTGTGAGAGGCTGAAGACAGGGCAAGGGCACAAGCCTCCTGGTTTTTCACGAACTGCCCCCTTGCAAAGACTGAACACCGCCGTGGATTCGCCATCCAGATTCTCTGAAACAGGTCCATTCTCAAGAAGAGAGCCCATGTTGGACAGGAAATAAATTTTTCTTTCTTTAAATTTTCTTTCTTTCTACATAAGTTAAAAAAAGATAATCAACTTCAAGAAGTGATCTGGAATAGCTGGGAATGTCACTTTAAAAGGCTTATGTTAACTGTGGTGGGAATGAAGGTATTTGATTAGCAGACAAATCTCCTGGAGAATAAATTAGGTAATATTCAGTTTTCTTGCTTCAATTACACTTTTCACAGAGCTATTAAATTACCAATACTAAGTAAGAAAAAAAAAAGGATAGAAATCAAGTAATCACAAGCTGGAGAGTGAAGAGAGATATCTCTGAAAGACAGAGTCACAGAACAGTATCCCCATATGTTGAGGGAACACTGTGCCCAAATCTCCCTCAATGGTAAATGTGCAGGGCAGACTCCAAGCAGTTCAACTATGGTCAAATGACCTGGACAAAGATTTCAGATGTTGTCCCACCCAAAGGAGACTGAATTTGGAGTTTGACTTGGTTCAAGTTAACAGCTAGATTTTTTTAAAAAAATCACTATGTTCTGAGAACCCAGAATCTCTTCAAGTCTCACTCATCCTCAACTTTCAGGACATAATCTAAAATTACTAGACAGATTTTTTAAAATAGGAAATGTGACCCAAACTCAAGAGAAAAGGCATCAATGAAGACTTATCTCAAGATAAACCAGACCTTAGAATCCACAGATAAGGATCAAGCAGCCATCATAGCTTCACTCAAGGCTATAAAAGAAATTATGTTTGTAATAAGTGAACAGATAGGAAATCTCAGCCACAACATAGAAATGACAAAGAACCAAAATAATGAATCAATTCAGCTAAATCCTCTCTGACACCTTGCTCTGCATCCATGTCAATTGTGCTTCCCATTCAGGATAGTTATATAGTCCTAATATTTATTTCAATGATCCCTCTTTTTAGCTTTTTCCAAGTGCCATGTTCTAGACAAGCTTCAAGGTATAAAAATATGACATAAAATTCTAAACTCTGGTTCCAAAGACCAGATCTCCTCTGACAACATCTATATGGTCATTTCTCGTGTCTTCCTGTGTCTGTCAGGTTTTTAATCTCTCTCTCTCTCTCTCTCTCACTCACACACACACACACACACACACAATTGAAGTCCCACATGTCCTCTTTCCAGAGCTTTGTGATGCTTCAAGCTCCATCACTCAAGTCATTCGGCCCACGTAAAGCCTGCGAGAATGAGGGGCAGCCTGCCAGGTTCCATACACCTGAACATCTGTCCTTCCCAGCAAAACACCTTCCACTGACTGATCAGCCAGGTCAAAAACTCTGGCTACACCTTCAGTAGATGAATGGATAAAGAAAATGTGGTGTATATACACAATGGAATATTACTCAGCATTAAAAGAGAATAAAATCATGGCATTTGCAGGTAAATGGATGGAGTTGGAGAATATGATGCTAAGTGAAGTTAGCCAATCCCAAAAGACCAAATGTTTTCTCTGATATAAGGAGGCTGATTCATAATTGGGTTGGGGGTGGGGAGCATGGGAGGATTAGGTGAATTCTAGATAGGGCAGAGGGGTGGGAGGGGAAGGGAGGGGGCATGGGAGTAGGAAAGACAGTGGAATGAGATGGACATCCTTATCCTAAGTACATGTATGAAGATACAAATGATGTGACTCTGCTTTGTGTACAACCAGAGACATTAAAAATTGTGATCTATATGTGTAATAAGAAATGTACTGCATTCTGCTGTCATATATAACAAATTAGACTTAAAAATTAAAAAAAAAAAAAACTCTAGCTACAGACAGTGTAACATCCCATTCTCCAGTTCCACCAACACTTTTCAAACACATGTTAGGTAGAAGGGTTTCAAACATGACTATGCATGGAATCAACTGGAAATTCTGGGCATACACAAGAAGACCACAGAGCAAGACTACCACATAGCTACCAGAATCATCATTTTTTTTTTAAGGACAATATTTGGTAGTTTCAAGGTGGGCATGACTGACAAGGGACACAGTGCTGCCGCTGGATTGCTGGATGTCTCTTGAACATGCCCTGTTTGTGAAAAATTCATTTACTTGGGATTTGTGTGCCTTCGTGTATATGTTCTTCCACAGTAAATCATTGCAATTTTTAAAAAGTATACTGATGTCTGAGGGTCCCACCTGGACAGAATTTGGTTTAATTGGTCTGGTGTGCAGCCAGGAATCGACGATTCTAACAGCTCCCCCAGGTGGGTCTGATGTGCATCCAAGAACTACTGTGTCAGAACTTGGCAACCCTCCTCACTATTTCTTGGAGCAGACTATGCTGCTGCTTCTCCAGAAAACCTAAATCAGGATGTTTTCTGGAAAACACCAGGAGACAACTATAACAGGCCTTCCATGGAAAAATAGGTGATATATTTCACCATTATAATTATTAACTTTTATTGAACATTTACTGCATTCCAAGAGTGGGCAAAGTGCTTTATCTACACTATCCCATTTAACCTTCCCAACAAGTCTACACGACAGGTACCGTTGACTCCCATTTTAAAAGGAAGCTCAGTGAGGTTAAGTCACTGCCCAAGGCACACAGCCAGAGAGCAACAGGGTGGGACCCTCAGACAGGGGTAGGGTTCAAGTCCAGATTGGCTTTGACCCTGAAGTCCCTGCTCCTTAGCCACCACCCAAACTGCCTCTCCAGTCAGTTCTTGGCTGCAGGACTTCACAGAGCCTTTATTTGCTAATGGGAACTGTGAGTTGCCAACACAAGAATGCGGATGCCCCAGTTTCCAAAGTCGTTTGCTTGCCTCTGTCTCAGCCCATCATCCACACAGCTGGCAGAGTTCGCCTTCCTAGGCTGAGTCTGATTCTGTATTTACCTTTTGGGGAGATGTGATGGCTCCCACTACCTGTTGGAGTCAAGCTCAAGCCCTCAGCCTAAAGTCCAGACCGCCCAGCCTCTGGCCTTGACATTTCCTCTTTCTGCCTGGCCATCCTAGCCTCGCTCCCCCCACCTCCAACCCATAAGTACCCGATTTTTCAGCAACGCTGAACAGGCCTGATGGCTCCCACCTGTGCAATGGTACCAGCATCTGCTGAGACTCTACAATGTACCAGGAACCCTACGGCCATCCCCACAACGAGTCTTAAAAACCATCACCATTATCCCCACTTGACAGATAGGAAAGGAAGGCTCAGATTAACACACCCAAAGTCACAGCCAGGAAGCGGCAGGTCTAGGGTTGGACCCCAGGTCCATCTACACAGAGCCCATGCGGTTCTCTACACCACACTCACCTCCGTCCCCACACGTGCGGTTCCGTGGGGTGGCAACACCCTGCTTTCACTCCACCTGGAAAAGGCTCCATGCTCCCTGAGAGCTGACTTCAGTGCCGTCCTGACAATTTCCATCCTAAGTACGTTCCAGGCACTTGACTCACCCTACCTCATTCAGACAATGTTGTCTCATTGCTCTTTATTTTACTTTATTTATTTTGGGGGTGCTGGGAATTGAACTCAGGAACACTCTACCTCTGAGCTACACTCCCAATTATTTTTTTTATTTTGAGATAGGGCCCCGCTAAGTGGCCCAGGCTGGCTTTGAACTTGCAATCCTCCTGCCTCAGCCTTCTGAGTCGGTGGGACTACAGGCGTGTACCACCATGCCCAGCTCTCACTACTCTATATTTCCTCTGAACTCTTCTTTATTTGCCCTCTCTAGTTCCTCTCTCTAGTTCCAAGGCATTTGGCCATATCTCTACAGGGACACTTAATGCTCAGTTGAGTAAGTGTTGGCTTTAGACTGCCTCCTCCATTTGACTGGCTGCTCTTGGAAGACAAGGGATACTTGCTATTCACCCTTCATTACCATCGCAGAGCCACCCAGCACAGAGGAGGTATCCAATAAATGGGAGAGAGTGGACAGGAGGGTGTGAGACTAAAAATTCACTAAGATCATCCCACAGTCCCAAGACCAGGAAGTGGCCCTTTAGCTTGGAACAAGTGCGGTAGCATCAAACCAGACAGAACAGATCTGGATGATGGGGGAGAGAAGGTAGACCGCTAACTTCCCTTCCACAGGCAGATAGAGTAGGGATGCCCTGGCTCACCCTCTCTTCCCTCTGCATCTCCACAACTGGTTCCGTGTATCCCTGCCTCTGGGATTTGTTATGAAAGTAATGGTTGGGCTCATTCCACAGCCCTGTCTCAGTTGATATTCTCAATGGCTCCTTGCC